ACCACACACACACACACACACCACACACACACACACCACACACACACCACACACACACATACATACACACCACACACACACACCTACACCTGCTTCCACCCCCTCCCATTCTTCCACAAACCCTTGCCATTAGCTCCAGTGTCTCATTCAACTACACTGTTTGTGATGCTGCTGTTAAACAAGAAATGGCCAACTGCATTTGGGGAAAAGAAGAAAACCTAAGACCTTCGTAAACAAAACTGCCTTCCACTGGGTGCGTTTTGCTAACGGCCATTGCGAAGCTGAAGTTGTTCAGTGGTGAAGTCTGGCTTCCGGGCTCCGTTGCACCTGATGAGTGCCTTCCCCGTGGTCTGCCCTCGTGGTCTGCCCTCAGGTGGAGCTTCCGGGCTCCGTTGCACCTGATGAGTGCCTTCCCCGTGGTCTGTCCCCAGGTGGAGCAGCCTTTGAGGTCCCGGAAGGCCGTCTGGCACAAGCTGCTGTCCAAGCAACGGAAGCGGGCTGTGGTGGCCTGCTTCAGGATGGCCCCGCTCTACAACCTGCCCAGGTATGTCTCCTCCATTTCCCTCTGCGCCCGCTGATAGGAGTTAAGTAGCTTCTAGAGCCGCACACTTAGATATGAAGAACAGAGATTGGAGTCCCTGGCCCATGGCCTGCTAAGAAACCCAGATAAGCCTAAAATGAAACCAGCTGGGCTCCCTGGTGTCAGGCCCAGCCCCCCAGCATCTCTGGGGGCTCCACTTGGCCGGTGGGGGACTCTTCCTGAAGGTGTGAAGGCGTCTGGGAAAAAGAGCTGCTTTCTAAAACAGGTGACCTCAAATTCCAGCTGGAGGCCAAGCAGGGCCTCCTGCTCGGACACTTGACACCAGATGCATTGTGTCTTCAGCAGACACAGAGATGTAACTTGAGAGCCCTTTAGTGTGCATTCTCACCATGAAGAAGGGCTGGCGAGGGGCACAGTGCGTAAAACCACGCGAAGGTTTTGCGGTGATGTGTGACGCATCATCCTGTGTCGGCACAGCCGGTGACTCAACTGTCAAACACCTGAGATACACCGGCCTAGGAGGAAGGAGATTGTTCTCCTTGGTGGTTTCAGAGGTTTTGGTCCATGGTCTCTTGGCTGTGTTGCTTTCGATCTAACAGAACATCCTGACAGGGAGCACAAGACAGATCGGACCTGCCCACCCCATGGTAGCTGGGAAGCGTCCCAGTGTCCCCTCCCCGGGCACGCCGAAGGCCTGGCGTCCTCCCCCTAGGCCACTTCCTAAAGGTTCCTCCAACTCCCCGTGGAGCTACCCGCTGGCCTCCGGCCGCCCACCCACAGCCGCGGGGACACGTGAGATCCAGAGCGTGCACTGTGGGTGTCTGGCCAGCGGAACTGGACAGGGTGTGTGTTAACAGCAGAGCTGTGACCTCCCTCTGCCTGGAGGCATGGGGTCAGGTCTGTGATGGAGAGCAGAACAGGTGCTTGGATGTCAGCCTCTGCTCCATCAACTTCCTGTTCAGTGGAAACAGAAAACACCTTGGCAAGCATCTTCTCAACCCAGGTAGAAAGTTTCAGACAAGGGCCGCTCCCCTGGGGGTCTTGGCCACTGTCCAGAGTCAACTCCACTCTCCTACTCAGGGTCTTCAAAAACAGGGGAAAATCAGACCTGAGACTGGCACTTGCTCTGGCGGGCCTTTCAAAAGAAAACAGGCTTCTGTTTGGGGGACAGAATGGGTATCACTAAATCAATCAATAAATACTGAATTTGAAAAGGTAAAAATTTAAATCAAACTGCTGGAGACATGGAAGATTCTGAAGTACTGTCAGAAAAGTAAAATTTGCAGCCTTAAAAATATGCCAAAGGGGGCTGGGAAGGTGGCTCAGGGGTAGAGCGCTTGCCTTGCATGCCTGAGGCCCTGGATTCGATTCCTCAGCACCACATAAGCAGAAAAAGCTGGAAGTGGTGCTGTGGCTCAAGTGGTAGAGCGCTAGCCTTGAGCTGAAGACCTGAGGGACAGCGCCCAGGCCCAGAGTTCAGGCCCCACGACCGTAAAAAAAAAAAAAAGCCAAAGTACATAGGATTGTAGTTTGTTTTCTGGAAACATGAGAAAGCATTTGCTTTGCACCTGATGCTGTGCTAGTTTGGTCTGCAGAAGAGCGCGGGCGGGCGGGCAGCTAGACATCTCTCTAACACTCACACGGTCTGAATCCACGGAAGATGCCCGCGCCATCGTAGCGCTGGGCTGCCTCTCCCTGACTCACTCGCGTGGGTAGGGAAAGCCCAGGGATTCGCGCTGTCTGTGGTGATGGCCACCCCAGACCCACCTGCCGGCACGGGTCCCGGGCTCTGGCATGGGCTGAAAAGCAGACTCACAGCTGGAAAGTGACCGTAGACCACACTTGGTCACCTTGTGATCCGCTCAACGACATGGAATCTCCCAAAACAAAAGTGGGTCTGTCTAGGTGGAAACTGTCCCTCTGATGTTAGTTTTTAAAAGAAAACCTGTATGCTTTTCTCCAGACACAAAATTAACAATTTCTTCCTGAGCACCTTCCAACGGGTTTGGCTGGAAAAGGTTAATGAAAAGGCTCAGTATGACAGGCTTATACCCGTGTTAATGGTAATGTAATCTGGAGGGGCCGCTCCTGTTCCGCACCCTTCCTTTCCTTTCCTGACCGTGATTAATGTGAACGTAAAACAGATTTGTACAATTGTGTCATGCGCTCTGATTGGTCAGATCTGGCCCTTCCACACTCTCCTGCGCACAGCGGCTCTGGAGCAGTCCCAGCCGTCAGCCCGGAGCGCGGGCAGGGGGCCTGGGGCACACAGCTGTGCCGTTGGCACTGGAGCCTGCCGGGGGTGTCTGCCTCTAGAAGCTTCCGCACCTGGCTCAGGCCGTTGTGTGGAGGACTGGTGTTTGAGGCCACCACAGATGACACCGCCCACCGCCGCGATGCGCGGCCACATGGCAGGAGAGGCGGGCAGCCCGCCAGCCCAGCGGAGGGTCGCAGGCACCCCCCTGTCTTGGGCAGCCCGCCAGCCCGGCGGAGGATCGCAGGCACCCCCCTGTCTTGCGGCACCACTGCTGGGTGGGGAAAGCGCTCTGACATTGGGCAGGGCCTGGTTAGAGAGCCCTGTGAGCCCCTGGCCAGCTGACCAATCAGACCTGAATTGTACAAAACCCTGCCCTGCTCACTAACCACTAACCGCCCAGACCGCAGCTCTGAGTCCCACCTCTCACCCCTGCTCAGGCACCGCTCTATTAACCTCTTCCTCCATGGCTATCAGAGATTTTGGATAGAAACAGAGGCGTATTCCTTTGAAGAGAAGCTAGTGCAGGACTTGGCTGTAAGTATTGACCTGCAGATGTGGGTTGAGTTTGACTTGTGTGTGTGTGGGTGTGTGTAACAGCTCATCACACACGAAAACCAAATGTATAATATGAGAGGAGTGAACTCTGGGGGTTCTCAGGGAAGCCTTGCTGATGGTCCTAAGAGCAAAGGATGCACATTGAGTTAGTGCTAACACTCACCCTCCTCCTCCTCCTCCTCCTGGTCCTCCTCCTCCTTTTCCTCCTCCTCCTCCTCCTGGTCCTCCTCCTCCTCCTGGTCCTCCTCCTCCTCCTGGTCCTCCTCCTCCTCTTTTTCCTCCTCCTCCTGGTCCTTCTCCTCCTCTTTTTCCTCCTCCTCCTCCTCCTCCTGGTCCTCCTCCTCCTCTTTTTCCTCCTCCTCCTCCTCTGCATTAACAGCTAACATTCCCTGCACCCTGTCTGCGGGGGGTCACCCCGCATTCTAACAGTAACTGCTCTGGGAAGGGCACACCGCTGTTCTGTTCCTGCACCTACATCTCTGTTGGCTCAGTGTGCTCTCAACCCCTTAGAACAACATGCCAGGGAAAAGTATGTCTTGCAGAAGGACCACACCACAGCCTCCTCCTGGTTCAGAAAGAAGGGAAGCCCTGCTCTGCTGTGCCGACCCGCCGCATCCCCTCCT